CGAAGTTTCGGCTTAGCAGTATACGACCCGAAACTCGAATTCTAGTTCGAGCGGTTTTTGGCCTACGCGACATAAATGAGAGTTGAATATCTCATTAATAGGAACTCAATGATAAAAAGACAGACGAAAACGGAGTCCGTATGAAGGAGTTACGAATTCTTCGCGGTCATTTAACAGTCTAATCATCTTGTACTGTTAAATTTAAGATCGATCTAGAATTAGCCGACGGTTTCTAAAAGAAAGTTGTAGATATTGTTTTTACCTACGCGTGGAAAAAAAGAACGTCGAAAACAAAGCTCGTATGCGAAAGTTATGAATTTTTGAAAATCGGCTGATTTCCACCCTGTGTGCGATGCCACGTGTCAGCACCAGGATGTGCCTGGCTGTAGCCAGCCTGGCTCACGACGTGAATATCAAAAATTCACGACGTGAACCTTCCTCCAGCCCCTATAAATAAGAGGTGAAGCCCTCTTCATTCCTCACACCTTCCTACTTCTTCCTCTCTCACTAGAACCTCTCTCTAGCCCCCGAAACCCCCCGAAAAGCCTAGGGAACCTCCCTAGCACGGGGCGGAAGCCCCGGAGCTCCCGACGGCTCCGAGAAGAAGAGCTTTCGGCTCGGTAACGCTGCTCCACCGAATCCCGGTTTTGAGAAAAAACCCGCTGTAAGTGAGCTATGCCTACCCTATCTTTAGTATAGCTTATGTTTTAATATAGTAACATTATTAGGACCTTAAAATAATTATTTGGGCTATTATTATGAGTTATATAAGAGTATTGCTTAACTCTTATATAATAGTAATAATAGCTAGACTATTAATTAGTCGCGGTTAACGTTAGACTAAACTCTAGTGGTAATGATACTAGGTTTTGTCCGAGGGAAATTGTTTTAAGAGTAACGAAGTGCTGTCCGAGTACCGAGTCACCACCTTTCCAGGTGAGTGCATAGTTACTTTCATCTTACACATAGATATGAAGTATTTTATATAAATTATGTGCTATGTGTGCATACTATCTGAATACTTGTTGTCTATGCTGGAAGAATGATTTTATACATGTTTTAAAATGATTTAAACTGTATATGTATTTTATATCTACAAATATGTTGGATATGACATGGGTAGATGAATAATGAGAGATAAAAGATGATGTGAGTAAACTTTGGCAGCTATAGACTTAGTGCCTAATAAATAACATCGGCAACTATGGACTTAGTGCCTATTGGACAAACACTGGTAGCTATGGACTTAGTACCTATTAGGTAAACACGGGTGGCTATAGACTTAGTACCTGTTAGGTGTTGGTAGCTATGGACTTAGTACCTGGTAGCTATGGACTTAGTGTCTGTTAGATAAACATTGGTAGCTATGGACTTAGTACCTACACTGGTAGCTATGGATTTAGTACCTGATGAATGAACTTTAGCAGCTATGGATTTAGTGCATTGGCAGCTATGGAATTAGTGCGTGTCTTATAAACCCTGGAAGTAAGGGACTTCGAAATGAACGAATGCAGGATAGATGACTCTTAGGGTAGACCCTTAAGAGTAACGAAGATAATGGGGATGGGTAATTGAGTTGATTGTTTGATGTTTAACATAATAATTATATTATTGTGGGTTGAAAACCCTATGTACTCACCAGGTTTCCCAACCTGACCCACTCAAGCTTATTTGTATCACATGTGTCGATATGAAGTTACTTTACACTGAGGGATTTAAAAGAGATGTAGATCACTAGTGTAAATGAATGTAAGTTCTGTTTATGCTTATGTTTCTGTATTGACGATGACATCCCAAATGTTTTAAAATGGAGAAAAATACATTTCATCGGAAATGCTTTGATAACGTATTTATCATGTTTTTCTGGGAACAAATTCCGCAACATTTTTATTAAAAGTGGTACTCTGATTTTTATAAAGCATAAACAAAATCGGTCTTTTCTGGCCGTGAAAATGGGGATGTCACACAAATCACCAAAACACCTTGGAAACTATAGAGAATAGAATGCACTTCTAGAAATCGGCCCACCCTTTGTACTCACACACTAGTGCCATTCCATGTGCCAAAGACCTCTTTATATAGTATGGAGGATTAGGGTTACATCCATGTAAACCCTAATACCCATGACCTTTCATTTCCATAGGATTCATGGGTTAAAAACTCCATGGACTATCCATGCAAGTTTAGCCCAACCTAAATGAACTTGGCCCATTCTACATATATATATATATATATATATATATATATATATATATATATATATATAAGAGTCCATATTTAATTAGTCTCCTTTTGATCACTAAATTAATTCTAAATTAATTCTTGATCAATACTAATTAAATAATATGATTTCATATTAATATATTATAACTTATAATATATTAATAAACCATAGACATACTATTCTCAAAAGACTATCCATACAAATTGTTTCGGTGAAGTGCAACCCAAATGGACCATGCTACTCTCGAGTCGAGTACATACCCATAATAGTTATGGGCTTAGACATCTAATCCAACAGTCTCCCACTTGGATAAGTCTAAAACTATTATTCAAGTATGACTCCAAGATCCCGACTAGCAATCTTAGCTCTTAAAGCCGCTGCCGAACTCTGACCTAGTCAAATGATGTGTCCATTAGATAAGGGATCATATATTCCTCCATTCTAGATATCATATGGATAGAGACGTGGATTATAATCATTCTCTCTGTCCATTTGTTGTTTCCCGATTTCCGATTTATGACGACTGGCTAATTGAACAAATCAAATTAGTCCAGGCTTGGCCAAGCACTTAGGGTGTCATCACTAAATCATCGAGGGGCCCACAGATATTACTTTTATCCCCCCAAGGGTAAAAGGAATGGATAAACTTCCACCCAAATGTTCGCTTGTACTTACACATGAAATTACACACAACGATATGTTTTATAACAACCAAGTTACTGGTTGCGTTTATATATGTCAATATGCAACTGACGCGCAACTACAACTCACATGTCTCCGTTTGAAGAATCTAAGATATTATTGTCCCATGATCACTCGTGATAAAATCCATGAAGTGATTCAAATGAGCGTGGGTTTAATCCAATACTCGAATCTCATTCCAGGAGCACTCATGAATGTTGCAGCAACTTTTGCTATGTCTAAACACTTTAGACATCTACAAGCCCAATTCATGACAGTCTTGATTCATACCTATTTCAAAGTATGATTGACTGTGGAGAGTTTGAATAACCTAGTTATTCGGGAAGTCAAAACATGCAAAGTGAAACACAAGAATAATCGAATCCAATATGGTCTCAGTACTTATGAATATAAATAAAACACCTTTTATTTATCACCATACTTATTACACATTATTCATTGCATAATGTTTCGATTTATCAACTTAACACTTGAATTAAAAACAATAGCTGTCCCATGCTCCAAGCATGCACACTATGTTTTCTAAACAATACTATGCCATACACCAAGTATGCACACTATGTTTGTCTATGATCCTTACTTTGTGAAATAGATGAATTGAACATGATTCCAATGATGCTCATTTCATAATCCCAAATCCTTATCGTTAATGTAAGAATTCCAAATTCATGCCATTTACCGAAATCTGTTAGATTCTAAACTTATATGCATTGATCCTCTTGTAATGACTATGCACAAAGTCACAAAGACTTGTCAACAGACATTACAGAGTATTCCAATGGAGATCAATTCCATAGAAACGAAGTCTCAAATTCAAAGTACATTCCTTTTAACATCCTTCTTGCATTAAGTTTTCTAATCTTACACAGATTTAATGAATAACTTCCACCTATGAAACATTTCCATATTCCCATTCTGACCATCACTTCTGAATAAGAGTTGCCTCCTTTCAGAATATGTCAATATGGTCCTTTCTAAAAATTTACACCATACTTCCAACTGTCCACGAGCAACCAATCTTTGGTAAAACCTCAGATTGTCCTAAACAATTGCTTAATCATTTTAGTCATATCCAATTCTAGACATTTTCCCCTCTTAATGCCCTAGGCATTTGGAAAATTTAGAAAGGATAAATATTATAGCACATGTAATCGATCCTATACCCGAAGCATATGGGACACGATTCATGATGTCTCACATAAAGACATGATCCTAGACCAGTCTTTTGCTACAATATTTTGTATTTGCCATGTTTTCATAATTCGACTATGAAGAGGGATGCCGTAATCATAATCGAATTTTGAGAACGCAATATATATATATAATTTCCTTATGTTAAACCATTCCAACATAAAATTCATATATATATATATATATATATATATATATATATATCATTAACTAAAGATGATTAAAATCTCAATCTAAGCTTTTAGAATTGAAATGATGTATAATTTCCTCTCCCTTAATTATAGCAAAACAACTTTTCCCAATTGAAACTTTTGTTTTCTATAATTAACATTGCTAACTTGCAACACTTATCATAATTGATTATGCTCCCACTAGCATAATAATTACTAGCATAACCATTATGCTCCCACTAGCTTTGACATGTACTTAGAAATCAGCTGGACTTCTAAAATCAATACTTTATTGATTTTCTTACCAAAGTTCATATTTCTGATACGAGTTGCTTTGATAAGACTTTATCAAGGCTTCTCAAAATCATACACCTTTCCTTAGATAGCTCACATGTGTGTCTAAACAATTTTTAGAACTATGAAAAGGGATGCCGTAATCATAGTCTCAATTGTTTAGACCTTTGCCATTTCTCACAAGTCCATGTTAGTGTGCCGGTTAACCACACACGCTCCAGTAACGACTTTGAGAATGCAAATATCAAAATTGCTATCTATTTAAAATCTACTTAGTGAAAGCGTTTCCTCACCATCATTTACATGAATCGGAGAGAAACCTTATGACACTTAGATTTTTATGGTGTATGTGTTCCTATCCATGTGAATTTGTTAAGACCATAATCACAAGACAAGGTTAGTGACAAATTCAAACTCATATGGATGGAACTTGTGCAATCTTAACTTCTTGCCACTTGGCAGCACAAGGCCTACCATTGCTTCCAGGTTGTTATGCAAACAATTGAGAACTCTCAGAACTCACATGCATAGTCAACTTTAACTGGAATGGGCACAGAAACAAGAATTATGTCAGCACGATAGGTTATAAACCTTAAGTCGTGTGCTAGTGATAAACTACAGGTTTTATTCTTGATTAGATCTTGAAACTCTTTCATGATCTTTTAAGACTCCCACTGTCCTCTTGACATATAAGACTCTCATGCCAAGAACCATTCCTTGACAAACAAATATTCAAGAGATAGTGCAGATTCTTATCAAGACAAACACTTCATACAGTTGGCCTTAGTTGGTCTTTGTTTTATCCAAAACAATACAACTTACCAATTTCAAAAGTAGAAAACATTTTACTCTACATTTGACAAATGTTATAAACCTTCTTTAAGATATGTCACTCAGAGTTACAATCTTGGAGTATCACTCTAAGAATTGTTTTGGAACGAAGTATGACTCATCTTCTTGATTTAACCATTTCAACAATTCATGACTCCTCTTCTTAGCCATAAGAATGCACTAAGATTTCCTTAGAGGATCAATTGTGATATGGTTTCATAATCATTAAGATGATCATAAAACATGATACACTACAAGAATATGAGTCTACAACGACAAAAGCTATAGGGACAACAAATGTCGTTGCCATAGAGGATCATATAGGGACGACAAGTCATCACTATATAGTTGACTAATTTAGTTTGACTTCCGAACCTAAAGGGACGATAAATCGTTTCTACAAAACTGAGCGGGAAGAAAAATAAATGGCGGGCATCCGAAAAAGCTGTAGGGACGACATATCGTCCCAAACTTAAATTAATTTATATATATATATATATATATATATATATATATATATATATATATATATATATATATATATATATATATAAAAGAAAAACTGGAACGACGCCATTTTAATGGGCAGGTATAGGAAGGACTTGTCGTCCCTATAGGGTTTCGCCGGATTGAAAACCCTTTTCCCAATCAGTCACTCGCAGTCTCGCACCCACAGCAGATACCGCTCCTGTTGTGAGCTGAGGCGAAATCGCCGTTTCCTGTAAGCCGATAGGTAAGATTCGATCGTCAATTGGCCACCGTTTCCCTCGTCTACTCCTTCAGCCTTTCACTATGATGTTTTCCCTCCGGCTCAGGATTCATTCTGTTTTCTGAATTGCAGGTGGTCTCATTCCGGCGGTCTCCCTTCTTTCTGAAGTCGGTTTTCTACTTCCTCCCAACAGGTATGAACGGTGTATGTTTTAGAATACAAGAACATCTCCTTTTCTCCTTATTCATGTATATGTTTTCTGGGTTATTTCCAACAATTATTCGTGTATATGTTTTCTGGGGGAGTTGGACAAAAGGATGTAAAATGCTAGTATTATATTTTCTATTATTCTAACTTCTAAGTCTGTTGGCAAGGACGTAGCAGCCCTAGTGCCCCACCCCTTTGTTTGTTCCCAAATCTTTTGTATAATGCTAGTATTATATTGTTTAATTTAGCTTGTTTAGATCGTGACAGCAGCCCACCTATTTGTCTGTTTTGTTGAAATAATGAAAAGAGATAGTAACAACCAGTTTCCCTTTTAATATACTTCACAGATTAGCACAGATCATGAGAAGGAAGGTCTGGTAATTGCTAGATGTTTCTGACTTGATACTCAGCCTTTATATATTGCTTATCAATCTCAGTCTTGGTCCAAATTCAGCCTAGTGGTTGTTTTTATGTCAATATTATATCGGACTTAAGTTGTATTAACAAATTCAACCTCGAAAAAACACATCCATCAGGAACATTATCCATCTTTTTTTAATATGAATATTTCACATTTGGTGGCTATAAACAACAATCACATACAAGTAAAAGATAATGTGTGTTGGTAAAAGATAATGTGTGTTGGATGACCAAAAATTAACACAAACATCTTCAACATTTCATACTACATTTGAGTTCAGTTATTCACTAAGACACACATTTAAACAAATAGCTTTGTTTGATAATAAAAGGACAAAAATGCCCCTTCCCAGATTTCCCCTGTTCAAAATTACAGTTTTACTTTAACTAATTATGCTTTGTATGACACAAATGTATGTTTTATAAAAAAAATAAAATACAATGGCTATTATAGAAAAAGAAAATTTTAATTGTTAAACCAAAAATAAAACAAAGTTTTTGTGGTTAATTGAAAAAAAAAAACATTTCGGTATACCCCTACAGGGAAAAAAAATTAGTTTCTTTGTTTCTTTTAGTTTGATTTATTTTTGCTTAGCAACCAATTCAAAGATTACTTTAAGACCCAAACAATTCAAACATATCAGTCAGCAGCATACTAATAAAGAAAGTATTTCTTTTTGATGTAACGCAAAAAACAATGACTTAATAGAGAAACTCAAAAAAAAAAGTATCACATTAAATCACTTAATGGGGAAAAATAGGGTTGAAATCCAAAAAACAAATTTTACAAAATTGATACCAGTGCCATTTTAACAAAATAAAATAGCATATTGACCAAAGTTTTCAAATAACTCAAACGTATCTTTGCTTTATATATGGACTAAAATTTAGCAAACAATAATAACATTATATATACGTGTGTTTTCATTCAAGAATATGCATTTGCATTATATATTGCTTAGGTGGCATTATAATAAATTGACAAGTGGAATATTAGATAAATAAAAAAATCAAGAAAATGCTATAATAGATAAATGCTATAATAGGCATACATTCTAATTTCTAATAATGAAACAGTTATGACTATTGATAAGAGTTGGATTACGTTGCAAAATCGAAGGTGCCCAGAGTTCATAAAAGGGCTTAACAACTTCATAGAGATCGCAAAGAACCATGTCGATGATGAAGGCAAAACATGTTGCCCGTGTATAGATCGTGTGAATATGTTTCGGCATATTGTGACTACGGTTTATGCCCACATACATGACCGTGGGTTTGAAGAATCATATCTTATATGGATTCATCATGGTGAGGAATATCCTCCTTCAGATTTAGACAACCTTTGGGCTTTAAAATACCGTAGTACTAGAGTTGTGGCAGAGGAAATTCCACATGAAGAGATGTTTAATGTAATAGATGATGTTATGGCAGAGGAAGATCCACATACAGAAAATATAAGCCAAGAAGCAACTGCTTTAGACCCAGAGTTTGATGCATTGTTTGAAGAAGCCAATACCGAGTTATACCTTGGTTGCAGTTGGATGTCTTCCTTAAACTTCCTAGCAAAACTGATGCACATTAAAGTCATCAACAGGTGGACAGACAATTCATTTGACCAACTTTTAGAGTTTTTAAGAGTTGCATTCCCGAAAGAAAATAAGATTCAAACTTCACACTATGAAGCTAAAAAGAAGTTGAGAAAGATTGGGTTGGGATATCAATCTATCCATGCTTGCGTTAATGATTGTGCTCTGTTTTGGAAAGAGAACGAGTCAATGCAAAATTGTCCTGTTTGTAAGGAGAGTAGGTGGGTTGACAAAAACACAAAGGGGAAGAAAGTGCCACAAAAAGTGTTACGTTATTTTCCTTTGACTGCCAGGCTTCGTTGAAGGTATAGTTCAAGATTCACAGCAAAAGATATGATTTGGCATAACACTGGTCGTTCAAATGATGGTAAGATGTATCATCCGGTTGATGGGAAAGCATGAAAGAAATTTGATAAGCGATATCCCGAGTTTGCTAAAGAACCTAGGAACGTCCGCCTGCGTTTGGCTGCCGATGGCTTTAATCCATTCAGCAACATGAATCAGCCTTATAGTATGTGGCCGATAGTATTGACAACATACAATACACCACCATGGTTGTGTATGAAAGAATCTTCTTTCATGTTGACTTTGCTAATTCTTGGCCCTAAAGCACCTGCGAAGGACATTGATGTTTTCTTGAGGCCTTTGGTGGACGAGTTGAAAATGTTATGGAGGGATGGAGTCCAAATGAGAGATGCATCAACCAATACTGTTTTCACAATGCATGCAACACTATTATGGACTATCAATGATTACCCTGCTCGTAGCAGTTTGTCTAGATGGAGTGGTCAAGGTTATAAAGCTTGTGCTACTTGTAACAAAGACACACCCTCGTGTTCTATAACCAGCAAGATAGCTTATGTTGGTCATAGACGATTCTTGCATAACAAACATAAATGGAGGGATAGTTTGTTGTTTAATGGCAAGAAAGAGTCAAGAAGGCCTCCTAGACGATTGAGTAATGCTTTAATAATAAAGCAACTAGACCGTCTCCCCGCTCGTATTCCTGGAAAACACCCTAGCTATGGTGGTGGTGTGAAAAGAAGGCGAACCGAGTCAGAGTTAAATTGGACCAAAAAGAGTATCTTCTTCGAGCTTGATTATTGGTGTTCACTCGATCTAAAACACAATATAGATGTTATGCATGTGGTGAAAAATGTTGGTGAGAGCTTGTTAGGTACTTCGTTAAAGAATGAAAAGTCAAAAGATACGCACAAAGCAAGAGAAGATTTGGAAAAATGGGGCACTCGAGAGAATCTATGGCTGCAAAAGAGAAACAACAAAAATTATCCACCACATCTAGATTACTCTTTCAAACCAGTCGATCGAGAACGTTTTTGTCAGTTCATTAAAGGTGTAAGACTACCCGACGGTTTTGGATCAAACTTCAAGAATAAGGTACATTCTAATGATTTAAATATAACTGGGTTAAAGTCTCATGATTATCACATCCTCATGCAACGATTGCTACCAATAGGGGTCCGAGGTTGTCTGCCTGCTAACGTGTCAAAAAAAATCATTGACCTTTGCACATTCTTTAAAAAAATTTATGCACGATCGTTAGATGTGAAAGACATGTATAAAGCACATAGTGAAGTGATAAAGATATTATGCAATCTGGAGTTGATATATCAACCAGCATTTTTCGACATAATGGTTCATCTTGTTCTACATTTACCAGAAGAAGCTATTCTTGGAGGGCATGTATATATGAGATGGATGTATCCTTTTGAAAGATACATGAAAAAGCTGAAATCTTATGTCAGAAACAAAGCCAAACCCGAAGGTTCAATAGCGGAAGGTTATATTGCAGATGAAGCATTGACATTCTGTTCCATGTATCTTGATGGTATACAAACGAAGTTCAATCGTCTCGATAGAAATACAGATGACGGCCTTCCAAAGATGCAATTTTCTGTGTTTTCATCACAGTGTCGACCAATTTCCAAGATGAAAATCATTGCTCTTTGTGAAGAGGCCAGCAAATCATTACAATGGTTTGTACTCAACAACTGTGATGAACTTAAATGCTACATATCGTAAGTAATTATTTATTTATACTTTATACTTAGGTATTGTGAGAAACTAATATGAACCATTTCTCCCACCTACAACGAATTTGAATCTAAATATCCCGAAAAAGATGTAAAAACGAAATTTCCCTCATGGTTTAGTCATAAGGTAAAAACATTGTATACATATATTACACATAAATCTAAAATATATTATCATTTAAAGTGTCAATCTTATATTTTTCTCCAGGTTTATTGTCTACAAAAAAAATTGTCCCCAGACTGTACCAACGAATTAAAAGCTTTGGCACATGGTCCGTTGAATGCATATTCTTACACCGGTTGCATAGTCAATGGTGTTAGATATGTGGTACATAGTCGTGATCTCCGACGTACTACTCAGAATAGTGGTATTGTTTCATTTGGAGAAGATGGTACACCATTTTATGGTCAACTGGAGGATATCATACAATTGAACTATTTAAGTGATTATTCAGTTGTTCTGTTTCGTGGTAAATGGTTCAACACAATGGGGAGGGGAGGATTAGTTAATGAAAATGGTATCATCTCTATCGACATCAGTCGTGAATGGTATGTTGGTAATTCATGGTATGATGGCCAACAATACATTTTAGCCACACAAGCAAAACAAGTGTTTTATCTTAAAGATCCTTCACGAAACGCCAATAGTTGGAGGGTTGTAGAAGACGTTCACCATAGAAAATTGTGGGATCATCCAAGTATGGATGTAGATGTCTTGCATGACAATCAATCATCTGATTATAACTTGGATGTTGACATAGGTGATGTTGGTGACTCAAGTGTGGTTATTGAGAGATGTGATGCCCCTATTGTGGACGATCAAACCTTTCATTGTAACTTGGTTGCCGATTTAGGCTATTTGCCTATGCAAACAACTTTAGGTGAAGTTGGTGAATTAAGTGATGCTCCTATCATGGAGGATGAGAATTTCATTGATGATGATGAAGAACACAGTGATTGCTACCCTTCAGAAGATGAAATTGTTGATGACAATAATGATTATGATGATGAGTCTATGGATGCATATTATTCTAGTGGTGATTATGATTAAATGTATTATAATGTTTTTGTCTTTAATAGATTGTTGTTACATGTTACAAATTCTTATTTATAATGTTTTGTTTAAATTATGTTTATTATTTATTTCAACAGAATGTCAGTACATGTTGCTAGAGGACACGGTGGAGACGGTGGGGGTGAACCTCCAAGACAGCCGCATACGATCCCCAGAGCTTGTGAGTCATGTAAGTAACTTGTTCTAATTAAATATGTCTTATGTCTTTATATTCAATAACTTTTTAACTTACTAACTTTTTAATTACGTGTATAAATGTAGCAAAACCAAAGAGAGGTTTTGGAAGAAATTTGAATTTGTATGAACGGTATAGACTTAACAAGAAGAAGCCACTTCCCTTGGAGTTTGACATCACGAGGAGACTATATAAGGTCGTTGGAGATAACTATCAAGTTTATATACGCTTGGTCTCGAATGAGGTTCAAAAGAATGTCCCCTTTCACTATCCGAGTTGGGATGATGTCCCTGAAGATTATAAAAGAATAGTCTATCTCACCTTGCATGTAATTATAAAATTTAATGGTTTTATTAGTATTACAATTTTATATTTTTGAGATGTTTTATAACCCTTTCATTTTCTTTTGTAGAATTATTTTGACATAGATTCTTTTCGTGACACGCCTCATTGGAATGGCATTGTGCAAGGAATTGACGCGGATTTCAAAGCAAGTTACAGGTGCCGCAAGTCGAAGGTGAAAAAACATTTTATGAGAGTTGGAGGCTACAATGATGTGGAAACGCGAAGAAACACCCCCCCACCTAGAATGAATGAAAAAGCATGGAGGAAAGTTATTAAAAAGTTATTCATGAGTGAAAAGTATCAAAACTGTTTTGTAAAAAATAAAGATAACAGTGGAAAACAGGTGTATGGAAGTTCTCATGGTGCTGAATCCTATGCCCAAAAGCGACATAAGGAAGTAAGATTTTTTTTTAGTGTTATTTAAGGGTTTTGTCACCATTTTCTATGAAATATTAGTAATAGTTTTTGTGGCTTTTTGTAGAAAAAAGAAACCGGAAGGGAAAACCACATTGATGGATGGAAAAAAAAGTCACTTTAAGGAAGGGAAAGGATGGTGTCACCTCAGGCGCAACAGTAAAAGTGGTATTTACATACTTTTAGTATGATGTTATTTTGTGTAAATTATTCATATGAAATTTAGAGTAAATTGTTTATATTGTTATTTAAAATGGATTGCGTATATTACAAGTAGATTTATTCAAATTTTGGAATTGTTATTCTTATTATTTATATACTTTGAACAGGTTGGTTTTTTTCTTTTTATAGTTGTTATGCTGCCAAATTTTAGAAAAAGTAACTAATAAATGTTTATTGTAGGGTAAAATTATGGAAGAGTATAGGAAAATGTTGGAAGAGGTTGATGGTGATGATTCATTGGTTAATCAGACAGAATGCCTCAAGCGTGCACTTGGAGAAAGAAGCGGTCATACAAGAGGTGTTGGAAGAAAAGTGAAGAATGTAGCACCATATTATGGGCCAAGTACATCAACCAATACCCAAAACTTCAATGCATTTGCTCAAGAGTTGACTCAACAGATGAGTCAACAATTTACCGAACAGATGCATCAAATGTTCTTATCTCAAAATCCAAACGCCCAACCACCACAATTTCAATTTACTTTTGATCCTTCCTGACTACAAGTTCCAAACGGTCATGATGTTAATGAAGAAGATGAAGAAAGTCAAGGATATGAAAATGAAGATGATGAAATGGAAGGTGATGAAAATGAAGAATGGGAAAGAAGTTCTAGTGGATCTGATAATTAGGTTGTTTGTTTTAGTTTGGTTTGTATGAAACATCTAAAAAAAACAAATTTAGCTCTTCATTTTTGGTAAACCGAGCATGTAAGATATTTTAAAAGTTTGGATGGTATCATATTTTGGAATGATTTAGATTTTAATTAACTGTTTTTGGTTTTATTTTATATGAAAATTTTATTGTATAGAAATTTAGAAATATAACCCAGGAGGTAAAAAATGTGTAAAAACTGTGAAACAGCTATAGAGGCGACTTATCGTCGCTATAGGTGTACTTACAACAACAAGATGTCGTCGCTATAGATGAGGCTATGGCGACAATATGTCGTGGCAATATGGGTCACTATGGCGACAATTTATCGTGTCTATTGGGTGCTATATAGGAACGATTTGTCGTCGCTATAAGGGGGGATACAGCGACGAACGCTATGGCGACGACATTAGAATCTAAAGCGACGAGCCTACAACAACAAAGTCTATGGCGACGACAAGTCGTCGCTGAGGTCTATAGCGACGACTTTCCGGTCTGTAGAGACGATTTTTGTTGTCCCCATAGGTTAGAAATGTTGTAGTGATACCAAAGTAATCTCACATCTTTTCAGATTTGAGAAACTTTTATCTTTCTGCCTAATTTGATTTTTCTCATTCGTTCTGCCATACATTGAAACCTTTCCAATGCTTCAGAATTATACTTAAACTTGTAAGTATAACCATATTTACTAAATTTTAGTAAAGCATAACGAATAGTCTTATCGATCTTTGTGGTGGACTTGACCAGTGCACAATAATGTATACTCGATCCCTTAGTCCTTCACTTGACTCACATATACATGTGAACAAAGAATTAGTCTTAATTTTCCAAAGATGAAAATTCTCATTCATCATACAATACAACTTGCATGATTCCAAGTTTCGGTCTAATTGAAACTTGGGTGATGAGAATCTTTCCTTATTTGGTAAATTTAGACACTACCACAAGTGAAAGAATCAAATTCATATTTTCAATATTGCTAGAAACATAAAAACATCAATTTTTCATAAATGCCATTGCAAGGAGATATAAAATAAAACAAAATTTTTATTTATTTATTTATAAAATGCGGAAAAACTTTTCCTTACAATGTAATTATAAGTGAAAAACTATGCTATTACATATTTCCTAGCAATCTATCATAACTCTCAAGCAGTAGCTCAGAAATCCGATTTTCGAACCATGCGATTGAAATCTATCTTCGCGATCAGATTCAGCATACTCTTCTTTTAAGCTTCCTTCCCTTTGCTTGATCCTGCCAAACATCAAAATGTAACCTAGTCATATCATGTATTAAGAATCAACAATTAGAAACTTAACAGAGTTAGATAGTAGTCTTACCTGAAGCAGAACCATACATTCTGATTAAACTTCTCAGGTAGTCTGGGCAGCTTCGATTCCAATGTCCCTGTCTTTGGCAATAGAAACACACAGGCTCACATGGAGCAGTCTCAGATTTGGCCTTTCTCTTATGATCAAAACTTTTGACCATGTACAATTCCTTTCCTTTAGGAGAAGGAATCTTTTCTGGGATGTCCATGTCAACTTGGGATGTAGACCTTCCAATCAGATTTGCTTGACCATTGCGCCAAATCATTGTTGATTCGGCAACAATTAGAAAATAGGTAATATCAATTAGGGTCATGTCGTGATCTGTCACATAGTAGTCTTTAACGAACTCACTATATGACTCGGGAAGTGACTGAAGGACCCAGTTAATAGCCAACTTCCTTGGGAAGACAACACCCAACATCCTTAGCCTGTCAATATGCAGCTTCATGTCCAAGACTTGAGCACATATAGGCTTTCCATCTTTGTGTTTACTATCCAATAGAGATTGAGTGATCCTGAACTTTTTAAGTATTCGAGCTTGTGGGTTAGGGAGAATTATTGGAGGAGGTGGAGGAAGAGAAGTATGATTTCCATGATCCAATCGTGGGACATCATATTCATTAGGAAAGCTTTTTCCAAGGGATTTGGGAAGACCATAGTTGTCTGATCTAGACATCTACAATGGGAGAAATTCAAGTTAGTTGATTTAAGTCCTTAATATAACACCCCATCTGAAATATTAAGGCTAGGACCCAACACAATACTTTATAACTTGGAATAGGGATGCCGTAATCCAAGCTACAAAATATTTGTAGGTAGGCGAATGACGATTCACCAATTTCCACCATGAAAAATGAAATAGGTATTTGGTTTTAATTGAATTGAAACTCCTAGATCTTTTTTGATTCATTGAAATTTTCAATGGCATGTTTAAATCTCGATTGTTCCCTCTCAAGTTTGTGACTGGGATGCCGAGGATCACAAACAAGGTGTGAATAACCATGCAAATTAACTTGGTACCCTTAATTTTATCACCTAATTGATGTGCCGGTTACCCACACGTGCTCCACCGATCTATGATAAACATTAAGTCACCCTTTGCCACTCTTACTAGTCCATGTTAGTGTGCCGGTTACCCACACACGCTCCACCAACGACTTGGTAAGGTAAAAAGTGTAATTTAATGGGTTAGCACCAATTTCACATTTTCCTAAAGTAACTAAGATTGGGAATTTATAAAATTTTTATTTACTTTATATTTATTATTATACTTTTAATAAAAATTATAGTCTTTGTCCTACCCGTTCGGCTAACGACCCTCCACCAGTTAAGGAAGCGGTGGGTGAGAGTGGACACCCATTAAACTGCCATTTTATAGGCAGTAACCTTATACCCCCTTATAGACCGACTTCGTGAATGAGGCCTACTAACGGTAATATTGACTTTTACTCTTACACATATATATAAATATTAAACCTACAATATTATAATAGTATAAGGGTTGAACTTTAAACTTTTTAAAATTCTAGGGTTTAGAACGAAAGTATACATTGGGGGGGGGGGTAACTTTACAAATTCCAAAACTTGAGCGCAAGTTTTGAACAATTCAAAAAAAAAACTTTTGGATTTTCATAACTTATGAGTTTAATTAAGGTTTTAAAAAACTTTAATGGAGAGACTCGTGAACATCCATAACTTGAGGACAAGTTATGGAGTTACTTTATATTTATCATTATACTTTTAATGAAAATTATAGTCCTTGTCCTACCCGTTCGGCTAACGACCCTCCACCAGTCAAGGAAGCGGTGGGTGAGAGTGGACACCCATTAAACTGCCATTTTATAGGCAGTAACCTTATATCCCCCTTATAGACCGATTTCGTGAATGAGGCCTACTAACGGTAAAATTGACTTTTACTCTTATACATATATATAAATATTAAACCTATAATTTTATAATAATATAAGGGTTGAACTTTAAACTTTTTAAAATTTTAGGGTTTGGAAGTAAAGTATACATGGGGGGGGGGGGGTAACTTTACAAATTCCAAAACTTGAGGGCAAGTTTTGAACAATTCAAAAAACTTTTGTATTTTCATAACTTATGAGTTTAATTAAGGTTTTAAAAAACTTTAATGGATAGACTCTTGAACATCCATAACTTGAGGACAAGTTATGGAGTCCATAAAACTATTTATGAGAAATACTCTTCAATTATGTAACCTATGAGTTTTTAATGGATCTTTAAAAGAAAATGAATTTTGGTAATCCATAACTTGAGGACAAATTATGGACTCCATTAAAAACATTTAGATCAAGAATTAACTAACAAACAATTTGCAAATAATTCATATGATCTACTAAAACTCATAAGTGTATGAACAATCATATCAAAAATTTCAAGAATCATATAAACATATTTAAAACTTGAAAATTTGATAATAACCATTGAAAATGGATTAGCATAATAATTCCCACACCAAAAACAGGTTTTATAAGTCCAAAACAGTTTAGGGTAATGATTCCAGTCCATTTCCAACAGCAAAACTCGAAAATCTGCACACAGGGCCTCCTACTCGTCGAGTGCAAGAACCTACTCGACGAGTAGGATGATTTTTCACTTGGACTCGTCGAGTCCCCCCATGGACTCGGCGAGTTCACTGAACAGTGAGCAGAAATTCGACTTTTTCAAGCAGTTTGCATCAAGTATAATGAAACCAAGCCTACACTCTGATACCACTGATGGGGTTTGAGCATTCTAACACTCCTATGGTGTACATGCAACCCTAGAAACCTTGGATCTATGTGTTCTCTATTATACATGCAAATATGATTTTTCCAAGGTTCTCATCCTAGCTAACATACCATGGGGAGCTTGTAATATAAAACTTAGTGGGATGACATACTTTTTTCTTGTGGTTGATTCCTTGGAGCTTCAAGAGCCTAGCACCAATAATTTGGATACCTCAAGTGGAATCACAAATCACCAAAACACCTTGGAAACTAGAGAGAATAGAATGCACTTCTAGAAATCGGCCCACCCTTTGTACTCACAAACTAGTGCCATTCCATGTGCCAAAGACCTCTTTATATAGTATGGAGGATTAAGGTTACATCCATGTAAACCCTAATACCCATGACCTTTCATTTCCATATGATCCATGGGTTAAAAACTCCATGGACTATACATGCAAGTTTAGCCCAACCTAAATGAACTTGGCCCATTCTACACACACACACACATATATATATATATATATATATATATATATATATAAGTGTCTATATTTAATTAGTCTCCTTTTGATCACTAAATTAATTCTTGATCAATACTAATTAAATAATATGATTTCATATTAATATATTATAACTTCTAATCTATTAATAAACCATAGACATACTATTCTCAAAAGACTATCCATACAAATTGTTCCGGTGAAGTGCAACCCAAATGGACCATGCTACTCTCGGGTCGAGTACATACCAATAATAGTTATGGGCTTAGACATCTAATC